CTGTATCCTCAGAGGTACATGTTTGTTCACGCTCATCCCCAGATCTGCGTTTCTTTCCCGTACAGGAATCAAGTTGCTTGTCTGTCACTGTGATAAGAATGTAGTTGTTTTGCCCTGGCCGGTTTGGTTCAGCGGTTAGAGTGTCGGCCTGCGGTCCTGAGAGACCCGGGTTCGGTTCCTGCTAAGGGCGCGTACCTTGGTTGCAGTTTGTCCCCGGCCCTGGTCGGTTGTGCGGGTGGCAGCCACTCGATGTGTCCCTTCACATCGATGTTTCTCTCTCTCTGTTCCTCTCTCTCCCTCCCACTCTACCTGAACAAAAAATGGAAAAATGTCCTCTGGTGAGGATAAAAAAAAGAATGTAGTTGTTTTAATATCTGTCTATTATTTATGACTTACGGGGGAGGTATGGTGAACTGAACTTTCAGGTGTCTTCATGTCTGTGTTGATTTAGTAGTTAACAACTGAGCAACACTAGTTAATTTACTAATGGACACTGAGGCTCTCTTGACTCGTCCCTCCGTCTCCCTCATGCCCACTTCCATCGGGTCCCAGCTGCCACTTCTTGTTTTTTTTCCTCCCCTAGCTCTTTAGAGATGTCTCTATTAAGACTTTTTTTATTTATTTTTTGCATGGTGTCGCAATCAGTTACTTGCACATCTGTCTGAGACAAGGAGTTGTTTAAAGTCAGGGAGCAAGTTCAACGGTCCCAGAACAGGGTCTCCTCTCCCACTGACTTAGACGCTCAGTAAATAGTTGCTGAGTAAATGGGTGTCATTTGAATCCTTTGCCCCCTGGCCACATCTAAAATGTGCTTGCCTCAAATCCTTTGCTTTTCTTGTCCTCCTGGTGCTCGATCCCCACTGGCCGAAGAGGCTCTTCCCCAAGTCTGCGCAGAAATCTAGCTCAGATATAACTGAGTGTGGTTGCCGGCACCTGGCACTTCTGCTTTTGCCCCTTCCCGCACGCCCTCCACGCGGCTGCAGAGGATGGGGAGTCCATCCTCCTGTGCGGCTCCCGTAGTTCCTGCCCGGTTGATTCTTACTCTTCCTTGTGTCTTCCTTAGTCTTGCAGTAGAGAGACTCTCCTGTTACCCTTCGTTTGTTCTCCAGTCACCGGAGTGTTTGCTGGACGTGGAGCCGGCCTGTGTTTTCACAACGGCCGGCCGCTCTGCCCTCCCAGGCAGATCTGAGTTCCTAGAAGGCGCCCCTCACGGTGCCTTGACGTTGGACGCCTAGGCCCAGCACCTGGCCTGGCGCCAAGGGGGCGTTGACTCTGTTCGCAGACGCAGAATACTGAAGAAAGCTTCCTTCCGTCACGCTTCCTCGTCTGCTAGGGTTCACTTGTGTGTCATTGGCCTTTATAAAGTCAAATTCCCTGTGATTGTTTTGTGCTGGCTAATTTCTGGAGAAAAGAAGAAAGGGAAAAAGACCTTCAAACTGGGTTTGGCTGGTATTCTGGAGAGCTGGGATTCAAGCAAGAGATTTCCCGTTTCTCCGGGAACAGGACATAGTGAGGGGGACAGGCGGACTCCTCTCCATCTCAGCCCTTCCCCTGGTTTGACATCCTGGGCTGTCCAAGAGCCAGCTAAAGGTACCCATCGCCCATGTGCACACCTTCCTTTTCCCAGCCAGACCCCACCTGAGGACTCATAGAGCATCATTTCTCTACTACAGGAGCTCACTACAGCGGGCCCATTGGGCAGGTGGACTTCCAGTTCTGGGTACTTACCCAGCACGTACCCATGCCACATGCTCAAAGAAATGTCTTCTGTGTGGTTCCCCCTACCATCACCTTTTAAAAATATAAAGCATTTTGAAAATTTGAATATTTTTCTTTTTCACGAATCTTACTGTATTTTTCCTTATGTGCTGTGAATTGCTTTTTTTTAGTGTTTTCTTTCATACTCAGTTTAATGATACTGTTTCACCTGTTCTGTTATTTCTGCCTATTGTAATGTTACTTTCTCACCTCCTTCAGCCTTTCTACCAACTTCTCCCTCTCCTCTCTGCTGTGTGTTTATCGAGGGCGGGGCTCTCAGATGCTCTTTCTCATTCTTCTGACTTGCATCATGGGACTCCAGGGCTCACCGTTGGGTACAGATGCCCAATAGACAAGACTCGGACCTTAGAGTCATGCAGATCTTTGTTCAAATTCTGCCTCTGCCTCTTAGTGGCTGTGTGACCCGTGATTCTCAGCCTAGGCTGCCTCACTGGTGGAATTGGGATGAGAACCTGCTCTGCCCACCTGCTGTGGGAATTCACGGCTGGCTGCTCCGTGACTGCCGCAGCCGTGCCCACGGGCACCGTGGCCATCCATGCCGACATTCTGGTTTGATCCCGATTTCACCCAATAGAATTAGTTTCTGATTATAGACCATTTCAAAGTGGGTAGCTACCTGTCACTGAGTTACATTTATTTTAGAGCTATAATTATATATTATAATTTAACTCCTACAACTGAAATAAATAAAGCCACAAGTCAGAGAATGGAAGTCTCCTGTGAGACTGCATGTCTCAGAGTTGGGCTGGGAATGGTGCGTTTGTGGATAGGACCTGCCATACAGGTGATAAGGACGTCACCTGTGTGACCTGCAGGCAGGGACAGTTTCCACGGGGTTTGCACTCCTGGGCACCCTTGCTGTGTTTCCTGACCCTGGACCCCAGTCTGTGTGGAGTACTGGCTCCAAGCACAGACTGACCCTTTCCGTTCCGTAATCTCAGAATGAAGTAAATAGGTGTAGTGATGATTTTTAACTTTGGTGACACCCTTCCCTATTATCTGCTTGTCTTCTCACCTGGGCACAGAACAACCCCGTTCCTGCTCTTCATCCTGTGCTTGATGAACACACGAGAATTTCTTGTCGCTTAGCAGGTGGGCTTCTTAACGACTGGTTGTACGTTGTTCACAAACTCCAGGTGAGAGAGAGAGAGTGTGTGTGTCTGGGCACCAACGAGGAAGGAAAGCGCTAGGAAGACCCCAAGGCTGTCACCTGGGCTTTACTACACTTGGGTCATGCAGTGGTGGGGTTTGCTTGCTTCTGTGAACCAACCTGCCCGTGGCATGTGACCGCGGACGCACCCCTCTGCTCTGCCGCGTTGCCCTTCAGAGGGGAGAGGAGCCCCCTTTCACCGAGTGCTTCCCCCACCGCTCCGTGCATCTTCACATCTTCGGGTTTCACACCACACGTAAATGCCAGAGTCAAAATGTAGAATTCTTTTCTGTTTTGTGGTGAGTGGGATCATATGCAGTCGCCCCTAGAGACAAGAGTAATGGGTTAAGTCAAGGGAGACTCCTTCCCCTGGAGGGAGCTGCTGGGTAGATCTGTGGACAGTGGACAGCTCGCGGGCAGCAGGACCTGGCTGTGGCCTTGCTGGTCAGAGTTTCTCTGCTGAAGAGCTGAGAGGAACCCGGACGAGCACTGCGGGGGGCGGAGTAGGGGGCCCGGCTTGTAGGGGTGCTGCTGTGACAGCGCTGAGCTGGGCTCGGGCCCCCGTGAACCAGAGAGACGGGCGTGTTCTGCGCTTCCTTCTGCGTGTGTTTGAAGCAGAAACTAGTCTTGAGGGTTTAAACAGAAAACGTCTGGACCGGTCCATGAAGTGGTAAACAAACGTGCCATTGAAGGGAAGAATGAGAAGTTGGCAACTGCGCTGTTGTGATCCTGAGTGGTTCATCAGTGAGGGCGAGGAAGAAAGGAACCGGAGATAAAAGAGTCGGGAGCAATGAATTCAGTTGTGTCCTTCCTTTGTCTTCGCTCCACACCTGGCAGCCAACCCGGGAGCTTCGGCGCGTTGTTCCAGCTGATTTTGTTTTGTTTCTGTGTGTCTGGCAGGTTTGCTTACAGTTTCCGAAGGGGTTTTTCTCAGTCGCGAGGAAGGCGAACGGGGGACAAGCAGGAAGGTGTTTGTCGTCTTGGGGAGGCAGGAGGGGCCCCGTTCAGGGCGGCTGCTCCGATTCGGTTTCTGGAAGGGAAGAGGACAGCGGGGTGGATGGGACTCGTTTCATCAGGTTCGGGTCTCAGAATTCCTCCGTGTCCTGACGGGGCGCAGGCTTTGGGAAAGGAGGAGGCGGGTACAGTGCTGTCCCCTTGGAAAGGCTGAAGAAAAGAGCCCTTTCTTCTTCTCAAGGAGAGTCGCCCTGAAATTCATCTGGGGCGGGCGGGGGCTTCCCGTGCCCAAGGGACCGCGGAGGCACAGGAGGTGGTGGGAAAAGGGCAAGACCTTTCCTTCATTCTCTTAAAAACATGTATTATTATTTTGAATTTAGAGAAGAAACTCAGATTTTTCCTTTCATTTCGGTCCCATCTCTCCACCCTGTGCCATCAGAGCTCCTGAGGGTGAGAGTCACGCCCGTCATTTCCGACAGTTTCCCCCGAATGGCAAACGTTCAAATACCTTTCAGGGAAACTTGTTTGGAATTTCATTTTAATGGGATTTATGAATAAATCTCCATCTTAATGCTGACTAAGCTTTAAACGTCCCTTCCAGGGGAACGCTATTGGGTTTTTATATTTTAAAATGTAACTCGCCGGACTGAGGAGACAGAAAACATTTTTATATTTGTGGGTACCATGTGCCAGGGCACTTCTGTGAAAGACATTTTTTTTTGTTTTTTGGTTGGCGTGAATAATTCTGGACTGCAAAGGGTGAGATGTGGCATCATCTCTTACCAGCCTTTCTTCTGTCGAGCCCTGTACACACTGTGGGTTTGTTTATCTCACCTACGTGGCTGGTATTCCGTGGCAGCCGTGGCCGTGCTGCCAGTTCCTTTAGAAAAACAAAACCGTTTACTTTCTTCCTTCACTTTGAAACCTTGAACCTCAGAATTTTATTTTTAAATGGTATGAGCCCTCCAAGTCAGATGGAAAAAAGTGATGCTCCCCCCTTCTTGCCCTCCCCAGGGAGTGTTCCCCTTAATGAGCGTACTCCAGGCGGATGTTGGGTTCGGGCCCCAAGCTTCGCTGTGTCCTCTGTGTCCGGTGTCATTTCCCCCTCTGTCTGCAGACTCGTCCTACTCCGAGCCTCCCGACGTGCAGCAGCAGCTGAACCACTACCAGTCCGCTGCCCTGGCGAGGAACAACAGCCGCGTCAGCCCTGTGCCCCTTTCTGGAGCTGCTGGGGCCGCCGAGCAGAAAACCGAAGCTGTTCTTCACTGCGAATTCTGTGAATTCTCCTCTGGCTACATCCAGAGCATCCGGCGCCATTACAGGGACAAGCACGGTGGCAAGAAGCTCTTCAAGTGCAAAGACTGCACTTTTTACACAGGCTTTAAGTAAGTGACGTGAACAGCCTTGGAAAACAAGGTGGCTGCACCTGCTCCACCCCTCACCACACTCTCCTTTTACACTCTCCTACCTGGAGCTCAAGGGATGGCCTGCACATCAGATGATACAGGGGTTGGATCCAATCTTTACCAAAAAAGGCTAGTTCCAGAAAACCGCTGTGGGGTTTGCAGAAGGGACAGGGAGCTGTATCAGAACAAATGAGTTTAAAAGTCAAGGCAGATAGGCGTCCGAGCAGTGTGAGGTCACGGCAGAAGACTTCTCTGACATGAAGTGCATGTCATGAAGCGATGAGTGTTTTCCCTTCAGAGAACTATCACTATCCCATTTCCTTTGATTTTCTTTGGGAAAAAAAAAATATATATATATATGTTCTTGAACATCAAAATCAAGGGAGAACATTTGGCAATAGTGACTCTTTGTTACCCTTGTAGAAACGTCTTATTTAAGATCACGTTATTTAGAAAACCCAGAGAATTGAGACTCCAGCACTGTGAAGTCTAAATGTGAGCAATCAGAGAGAGAGAGAGTTTCGATCTAGAAAAAGATCATTCAAAGTCACCTTTGCTCCAGGTATGACAGCATCAGTGAGCTCAGAATGGAGAGCTTCCTTTCATAGAATCTAATCTCAAACACCTGTAATTTAATCTTATCCTGGGAGATACCACTTAGGTTAGTGGCTGCAAGTGTAGGAGGTAGAGTCTGACTGCCTGGGTTTGAATCCCAGCTTTGCTCCTTACTGGCTGTGTGACTTTGGACAAGTCACTAAGCCTCTCTGTGTCTCCAGTTCCTTATTTGTAAAATGAAGATTATAATAGTACCTACCTCAGAGCTTTTGTGCAGGGTAAATGAACCAATGTATCTGAAGTGCTTAGAATAATTCCTGGCACATTATTTATTAGCTATATTTATTACATATAACACCAATAAATGTTGTATCATAGATAAAAAGCCAAAAATAATCATATATGAGGTGCCACATTACAGATGTAAAACTATCATCTGCTCTGATGGCAGTCAGGACCCGAGCCTCAGGCCGCTCCAGTCCTTGGCTACAGACTGCACAAGAGGGGCTGACGCAAGTGGGCTTCATGCCCAGAAGAAAACATGAATTGGGAGGACAGCAAGTCTCTTTTCCAGCAACTCGTAGTTGCTTGGATTTGATGGGAAAAGTGCTGTGTCTCTGATTCTTAACTCGGTCCAGCTGTTTTCCAGATAAATATATCCGTGACCTTAGAACTGAGAGACGGCCCAGCGACAGGTGTACATTTTCCCCGAAGAGAAGTTCCTAGGAGAATGGGAAGAGGACCTCCCTGTTCAGTTCTTGTTCCATCCACTTTTATGAGACGTCTGAGGCTTTATAAACCGAAGTTTTGAAAAGGACGAGGGGAGGCAAAGTGCCCTTCCACCTTTAAGCTGTACAACAGCTCTAGTTTAGTTGACCTGACTGTCAGCGTCATGGCCTCCTAACTGACTGTGAGGAGTCATGAGGGAGTTGCTAAATCATCCATCTTTATTATTTTTTTTAATCCTCACCTGAGGACACTTTTTGCATTCATAGAGCGAGAGGGAGAGAGGGGGAGAGAGAGAGAAACATCGACGTGAGGAGACATATCGAGTGGTTGCCACCCACACAACCCCAACCCGGGCCAGGGACAAACTGCAACCGAGGTACGTGCCCTTTAGTGGGAACCGATCCCGGATCTCTCCAGACCGCAGGCCGACCCTCCAACCGCTGAGCCAAACCAGCCAGGGCTAAATCATCCATCTTTAAAGTAGTCCCTCCCCTTCCAAGCATGATGACAAATACATTCTCGTAGCGCTTTGTTGTCATTTTTAATAGGCAGTTTCTCCCTTTCAAGAATAAAGTGTTTGGTAGACTCACAGAACAGAAACCAGAGGGGTTAGGGGGTAGGTGAAAAGGGGAAGGGGAGTTACAGTCAATGACATTGCAGTAAGTTTGTTTGGTGACCGACGATTGCTAGAACTGGCGGGGTGATCCCATTGCAAGGTATAAAAATGTTAAGTCACTATATCGTATACCTAAAAGTAATATGTCTAATACATGTTATACCAACTATATTTTTAAGAAAAGGATTTGGGGGCATCATTTATTTTTATACTAAATCTGGACCCAGCCAAGGGGCAAAATTTCCAAAAAGGAGTGCCCACTGAAGGACAGCGTTCAGTGATGGGGGGAGTGACCCAGGGACTCTGGTCATCAAACACCGTGAACATCTGGCCTTAGCCCCTCGGGCCAGGGTGTCACATTGGAAGCTCTGTAGCACAGTCGCCGGCAGGGGGTGCGAGTGGGGCCCCTGGTCACACTCATCGCGTCTCCGCCTCTCCCCCAGGTCCGCCTTTACTATGCACGTGGAGGCCGGGCACTCGGCCGTCCCGGAGGAGGGCCCCAAAGACCTGCGCTGTCCGCTCTGCCTCTATCACACCAAATACAAGCGCAACATGATCGACCACATCGTGCTGCACCGAGGTAACCTTCCTCACGCGGGGTCTCGGGGTGCGCAGGGAGGGCGGCATGGCTGGCATTCCAGGGATGCCCTGTCAAGGTGGCAGGGGCACCTGGGTCCTGGTCTCTTGTTCCTCACCTTATCTCTGGGCAAGAAATCTCAGGGACAGTCGTAGTGGCCGTCGCCTTCCTGCCCAGAGGATTTCCCCCTTTCGGAGGGGGGCAGGGGTGATGGCGTCCGCGCCTCCCACGTCCGCAGGGCTCCCCGCCTGCGAGGTCTGTGTTCCGAGTCTCCGCTGACCCAGCCTTGCTCAGGAAGGGGTGAGTGAGCAAGAGCTGGGGCGGCCGGGGTGCATCCTGCAGTACCGTGTAAGCAAGTCTGAGGAAGACCGAAAGGATGATTTCCCAGCAGAATGTGGCATTTCCCTCCAAGTGGAAAATTCCTCGGACCCCAAGTGGCCTGATATAGATGAGAAAACCCATAGGCTTTGGATCTAAATTCTGGTTTTAGAGCCTCCTGCGTTGAACCTCTCTCTCATCCGCAGAAAGATGACGGTTGTGCCCGTGACGTAACAGGTAAAGTGTCGGGTGTGCCTCACCAGGTGTCCCCTGAATGTCGCTTCCTGTTTATAAACAGGGATCCTTCTTTTATGTTCTCTCTGGTCTTTCTTTGAGTTGCGTTTACTTTCGGCCAATTAAAACACTGTTGAACAGCAGACCGCTCTGCATTGGCAGCACAGATGTGTTTACGTCGAAACTGAGTTATCCTGACACCACGCAAGCCGGAGGTGGGGCCGAAAAATGACTAGGACATCCATTGTCCATCTCTCCTGCTGTTTCCACCTGCGGTCTTTCCCTCTGTCCTTCGTTCCTTCCTCCCACCCTGCTTTCTTCCTCTTCCTTCCCATCATCCTTCCTTCCCCTCTAACCTTGGGAAGCATTTCCTCTTTGCCACATGCGCCTCCAAAGCAACGGTTGTCCCTGCTGCCCTGCAGCACTGTCCTGCACTCGGAAACGCTGGGTGTTTGCAGCACTGCCCCAGAGCCACGGCCTCTGGCCTGTGCTTTTGGTGACATTTCACCTGTCTGTGCAGCAAACCTCGTAGAAGGCTCACCAGTGGCATCGTAAGACCCCCCCTCCCCACGGCACCCTAATGAGACGGGAGATGGTCGCTGGCTGGGACCCCTGCCTGCGAGCTGGGAGAAGCAGCATGGGAACATTTAGGCAGCCGTTCTTGGCCCGAGTGGTCCCACCTGGTGTTCCGCCTCAGTCACCTGGCTTCTGGTCCCCAGGCCCATGTGTCGTGGTGGCTCTGTGCCCCCCTGGAAGCTTGGGGGAGGGGGCACGCGGAGTGTTGCTGCCAAGCAAACAGAAATGATGAGACCTCACTTCTGTGGCGGATTCCTTCTCTTCTCCCACACTGCCCCCCTCCCCTCCCTCACGGCCCCTCCCCTCCCTCACTGGCCCCTCCCCTCCCCCACTGCCCCCCTCCCCTCCCTCACTGGCCCCCTCCCCTCCCTCACTGGCCCCCTCCCCTCCCTCACTGCCCCCTCCCCTCCCTCACTGCCCCTCTTTCCTCCCACATTGCCGCTCTCTTCTCCGGTCCTCCATGCCTGATGAGCTCTGCGGCTTTCTTCCCCTGCACTGAGGGTTCAAAGGGGAGCAGAGGGACTGAAACGCTCACGGTCATGAACTCATCTGACAGCGTTGCACACACATCACTTCCTATTCAACAGCACTTGGAAGACAGTACTTATAGTCCTGTTGCACACGTGGGAACTTGAGGCTGAGAAAAAAGACGTGTTCTTTACATCTGTGTTGTTATTTGTGGTCACTTCACAAAGGATTTATGGAATCTTAAGATAGAACTCTGGGATTAAAAACAAACGAGGAGATGGGGAAAGGCGACGTGAGGAGGAAGCCGCGGAGAGCTCCCGAAGGTTGGGGGGAGTTCACCGGGTTGGGCACTCGTCGGCCAGGCGGGGCGGGCACGGGGCAGCTGTGGGCTGCAGATCCCGCCCCGAGGCTCCTGCCTTCCACCAGAGAGAAGGAAACAGTCCAGTGGATTTAGGCTTGGTTAGACTTTTGAAATGTCGTTCAGGAAATTTTCAGGAATCTGAAACCTGAAAGGAACTTCCCCAGTGGCCTCTCTGAAGGGGACCGTGTAGGAACCAGTGCGTGTTGTCCCCCGTCAATGCAGTGGGAAGTCCCCCGGGGCCGGGAGAGCTGGAATAGGTCAACCCGAGGCACCCACCCGGTGAGCAGCGAAGCTGCGCGCCAACCTCAGCCCTCCGGTCCCTGACCCGTCCGTTGTACCGCCTGCCGTTGTGTGTCCACATAACTTCTATCAGCAGAGGCATCTGCAACTACAAAGACCGTCCTTATCGGGGTTAGGGAGCGCACAATCTGAATGAACATGGGAATTTGAGGACTGGGAGTGGTTATGGCAGTGTTAATAACAGTAACTATGGTTACTATGGTTACTGTTACCAAGTGCTTTTAGGTAGCAGGTGATCTACTAAGTGCTTTCCAAATTCACGTTATGGAATTCTCACAAAACCCTATGTGGTGAGTGTCATGGTGATCCCTGGGAACAAGGGGAAGCCAGGTGCAGAAAGACGTAGCAGCTCATGTAAGGTCACATGACTAATGATTGACGGGAACTGGGCCCATGCTGATCTGGCCCATGGCCCTCGTCTTTAACCATCAGGCGTCACTGTTTCACCCTTAGAAATGTGGTTGGTGCCTCTCTACTGAGCCTCCTCATGGCTGTGATGGCTCGGCCGGGGGATGGAAGTATCTTGGGGGCTGGAGGTCAGAAACGAGGCCCACTGAACCCCAGATGGCAGGGTGCTCCAGGACGGCCGTGTCTGCCATCTGTCCTGCCAGGCATTTGTGTCCATCCTGGCTCAAGATGGCAGCTCAGTGGGGAGCTGGTCTGGACGACTCAAGAGATGCGGTTGGAGTTGGGGCTGTTTTCAAATTAACGAGATAGGGCTTTCTCTCTACCTGCGCCTCCGTGCTCGGTGGGTGAATAGACATCTCTGGTCTCCAGGGCCTGTATATAGTAAGACATATTTGGGAGGCCTTAGTTAATTAAAATACTTGTGATGAAAGGCAAGAAAAACAACCAGTGAACTAGTTCTGAGACTGAGCTACTGCTCGCCAGAATGGTTTCCTTAGCTTTTTGCCCAGACAAATGGGTATATTTAAATAGGAAAGGAAAAGAGAATCTACTTCACTCGTGGGAAATCTGAATGAGAAATACGCATGGATTTATGTTGGCTGCGGCAGAAGGGAGCATACTGTTCAACCGTGCATCCGGCAGGGTTTCATTACTTGCTTGTTACATGCCACGCTGTGCTGAGTTCTCTGGGTAAGATGGGGTACGTAAGACCTAGCATCTGCTTCCTCCAGGAAATAAGTGTGCTGCATACGTGTGTGTAAGATGGTGAGAGACACGTATCTTAGGAGATTCACAGTGGCAGATCAACTTCTGTTTGGGGTCCAGAAAGGTGGAGGTGGGTGGGGGGCTTTCCAACAGCCACGATAACATTTCAACAGGCAGAGAAGACTTAAAATGAGGTATATTAGTTTCTTGAGTAAAATGTATTCTCTCACCATTCTGGAGCCCAGAAGTCTGAAATCAAGGTTTCAGCAGGGCCGTGCTCTCCTGGAAGGCTAGAGAAGAATCCTGCCCTGCCCTTCCTAGCTTCCGGTGGCTCCAGGCCTTCCTTGCCTTGTAGCTGCACCGTTCCAGTCTCTGCCTCTGTCTGCACGGGCCTTCTTCCCTGAGTGGGTCCCTCTGTGCCCTCTCCTCCGGTCATTCTCACAGGAACTCCCGTCATTCACTTCTCCAAAGAGGACATGCAAATGGCCAGTAGACATATGCAAAGATGCTCAGTGTCACTAACCATTAGAGAAATGCACATTATAACCACAGTGAGACACCACCTCACATCTGTCAGAATAACTCATCAGTAAATCAGCAAACAACAAGTGTTGGCGAGGGTGTGGAGAAAAGGTAACCCTTGTGCACTGTTGGTGAGGATGCGGACTGGTACAGCTACTGTGGAAGGCAGTATGGAGTTACCTCAAAACATTAAAAATGGAACTGCCTTGTGACCCAGCGATTCCACTTCTGAGTATATAGCCAAAGAAACTCAAAATGCTAATTTGAAATAATATACGGGGTGGGGCAAATATAGGTTGACAGTTGTGAGTACATGAAACCGATTTTTTTTTTACGTTATTTATTCATTATTGTATTATTTTCTATCCAAACTGTAAACCTGTGTTGCCCCACCCTGTATGCACCCCTGTGTTCATTGCAATGTTATTTACAACAGCCAAGCTGTGAGAGCAACCCAACTGCCCATCAACAGACAGTGGCTAAAAAAGTAGTGGTACATATATACATACAATGGGATATTACTTGGCTGTAAAAAAGAATGAAATCTTACCATTCGTGACAGCATGGGTAGACCTGGAGGGTATTATGCTAAGTGAAATAAATCAGTCAGAGAATGACAAGTACCATGTGATCATGTGATCTCACTCTTGTGGAATCTAATCAGCAAAATAAACAAACAAAATAGAAACAGAATCATAAACACAGAGGGGCTGGGTAAACAAGGAGAAGGGATTAAGGAATACAAACTGGTAATCATGCAATTGTATGGAGATGTAAAGTACAACTTAGGGAATATGGTCAATAACATTGTAATAACTATGGATGGTTCCAGGTGGGTACTGGCAGTATCGGGGGGCACCACTTTATAAAGTATATGATTGTCTAACCACTGTGCTGTACACCTAAAACTAATACAAAGTAATACTGAAAGTAAACTGTAATTGAAAACAGAACTCGTCATTGTGTTTAGAACTCCTCCTAATCCAGCATGTATGACCTCATCTTGACTAAGTACCTCTACAAAGACCCGTGTCTCAATCAGGACATATTCTGAGGTTCTAGGTGGACATACATTTCTGCGAGACACGATTCAACTCACTACCTGGGGGAA